GCTGTCTTCAGATACCAGGCTACCCTTGAAAGGTGTAGACATTCCTAGAATTTCCTCAAGATAATGAGTGAACTGCAGAATCAAGGCAGTTTTTAAAAAGTGAGTTCACATGCACACCCATGTTTGTTGCAGCTTTCCTCGCAATAGCAAAGATCTGGAAACAGTCCAGGTGCCCATCAACAAACGAAGGGATAGAGAAGCTGTGGTATAGTCACACAATTGAGCACTAAGCTGCATTGGAAAAATAAGGAACTCATGTAATATTATTCAAAATGGGTGACCCTAGAGGACATTATGCTGAGTGAAGTATCTCAGTCACAAAAGGACAAATACTGCATTGGGCCACTGTTGTCAAACAGGACTGACATCAGAGTTGAGGGAAGACAGAGAAGGAGGGGAGGAATGACGTATATTGCACTGAAACAGATGAGGGAGAGAACTGTTTAAAAGGGATATGTGAATGGGTATTATTGTCATGTCAGGAGTCCAGAGTGAAGGCTGCATAGTGGAGTGGACTTGGGGGGAGGGATTGCATAACAATGAAAGAGTTTTTCTTTTCAAGAAGAGTGAACTGGGTGGGGGTGGGGGGGGAAGGGGTAGGCAAGGAGAAAAGTGCAACAGTGAATGACTGGAAACTCTAAGTCTTTGTAAACTTTCATTAAAATTCCTTTTTTAAAAAAAGCGAGTTCACCTCCATGGGTTTTCAGAGGTGGTTAAGGGCAAGGGAGGGCACACCCGTCTTTCTCCAGAGGAGCAGCTGATAGAGACGGTGGTCACAGCTGACAGGTACGAGGAGATCACAGATGACAGATTTCATAGCGACACAGAGGGTAGGAGTCCTGGGGGGCTAGCGGGGAGGAGTTGTGCTGCCAACCCAAAGGCAGGCAGTTGGCTGTTCTGTGGGAAAAGGAGGGTTAATCTGCTCCCATGCAACTTACAACCTCTGAAAACCCCACAGGTCAGCTCCAAGTCAGATGATTTGTTAAGAGGTTACAGATAAAGAGGAAAAGAGGATAGATAGGTGACAGAGATTACAGATAACAGATTCACAGATGGTGACGAGATCTCACAGGTAATAGACTACAGATGGTAGATACACTGATTATAGAGAACGACATATTCTACAATCCCTGTCAAGAAAACAAAAATTCTCACCACTGGACTGACAGGCACCATCATGATAGATGGAGAAAAGATTGAAACAGTTAATGACTTCCTCTAACTTGGATCCACAAATCAACATTCTTGATACCAGCAGTCAGGCAATCAGGAGACAGATCACACCGCAAAAATCTGCACTCAGCAACCTCTCAAAATGATTGAAGAGCAATGCTATCAGTTTGAAGACGAAGGTGCACCTGATTCCAGTCGTAGCTTTTTCAATCACTTGCTATGCATCTGAGAGCTGGACAGTGAACAGGATGACAGAATTGCCTTTGTGCTGTGGTGCCGGAGACGAGTACCGAATGGACTGAGAGTGTGGCCTTCCTTGGAGGCAAAGATGATGACGCTTCGTCTCATATACTCGCATGTTGCCAGGACAGGCGATTCCTTGGAGAGGGACATCATGTTTGGAAAGGTGCAGCGTCGGCCGAAGAGAGGAAAACCCTCAGCCAGATGGACTGACACAGTGACTGCAGTCACGGGCTCAAGTGTGACAGCGAGGATGACGATGGTTCGGATCTGTTGTTCACGGGGTAGCTGGGAGTCAGACTTGATTTGATGGCACATAACATCATCATCATCACCTGTGTCACCTCTACATCCACCGAAGAATCTATCATAATCTCCACTAGATCTACCATACAACAGTTTCTTTTTTTAAGAAGCAGTATGGGGAGCTCTGGTGGCCTAGTGGCGAGAAGCTGCACTGCAATCCCAGAGGAACATGGTTCAAATCCACCAGATGCTCTGCTGGAGAAGGAGGAACAATCTCCTCCTGTACCACTCAAATTTAAAAAAAATTTTTTAAAAGCAGCAGTATGTTAGGATGCATTTATGTGTGAGTTCTGGCCAATGGAAGGACCAGGGTCCACTTTTCTTTGCTAGTCTCACATGGGAGGTGACCAGGGTGGGAGGACAGAATTGCAGACACAGACATACTGTCCTGCCCCAGACTGTGAGCTCAGAGAGGGTGTAAACCACGGTCCAGGCCATCCCCTAGCCCCTGGCCAAATCGGGATCCAGCAACCAGGCCTCAAGCGGGTGAGTAGATGGTCACTCCGCCTTTGCCAGACCCCTGATCCCCAGGAATGACAAGTCTTTGACTCTTCCCTTACTGCCTCTGGGGTCCCACGGCCCTCCAGGACTTCTGGAAGTTTGCATTGTGTATCCCTAGGGATTGTTCCAAGAGGAGGTCCCAGGAGATGGGAGGGCATCAGCCGGGAAAGACTGTCTACTGTATCCCGAGGACAGGAATGCAGAGCAAAACACCCCTCACCTTATTCCCACCCAGCCCCGTCTGCCCCTGTCCCTTGCGACCGGAAGTCACCTGCTTCAGAGGGAGGAAGACCAGGCTGGGCCTCATTCACCTTAAACCCACGGCCCTGCAGTCTATTCCTATTCACACCGACCTCACGTACCTAGCAGAACAGGGCTGTACTGTACCTGAGGCTGTAAATCTTCATAGAAGCCACTCACATCTTTCCCCTCGAGAAGGGCTGGTGGGTTTGAACCTCTGATCTTTTGTTCAGCAGTCAGGTGTGCTAAGCCAGGACTCCTTCAGCCACCACAGAGGCTGCGTGAACCCTTCAAGGCTCTGGTCTGGTAGGCAGAGCTTTACTCTGTTGAGGTGAATTAGAATGCACCAGGCTGCTGTTCAGTGGTGTTGGTAGTATATTAGCTGCAGTGACACTTACCTCCCAAGCTGGTAACACCATCTGACGGTGTGGGTTAGGGTCCAGGGCTGGGCATGGCCCTGCCCCTCCAGCGGCTCCTGAGGAGGGAGGGCACGTCTCTCTCAGAGGCAGGTGGCACCAGGAGTTGCTTGGCTGTGGCACCTCATCCCCGTATCTGCCTCCACCATCACCTGGACTTCTTCTGTCTCCTATTTATTTGGCACTCCTTGGATGTAAGTCCACACTGATAACCCAGGATGTTTGAGCAGGGACTCCACCCCTGGCCTCAGAGCTGATGCCGGCTGACAGGGACTGTCGCCTGCCATTTCCAAGGCTGTTAACCTTTATGAAAGAATGCCCATCCTCCCTCCCCCCCCCCCCAAAGCAGCTAGTGGGTTTGAACTGCTGATCTTTTGGTTGGCGGGACAATATGTAACACACCACAGCACCAGTAAACTACGAATTGAGCCCAAGTGCCCTTTGACAGATGAAGCAGGTAGACAACTCCGTGAGCACAGAAAGGGGAGTTTTATTGTGGGACTTAGGGGGGTGGGGCTCTGGTCAGAGGACTGCAGGACCAGTTCATTTATCAGTGCCCCCTACTTGGGAACTCTGGGGACCAAAAGTGATCCCACATCATGATCTAGACGCCAAGATCACCCAGTAGGTGTTACATAGGGGGGTCCAGCAGCCGGAGGTGGGGGATCTGCAGGCTGAGGCCAGCCCTAACCTGGGCAGCCTCTATCCTCCGCCTTCAGGCCGGGCTGTGACTCAAGGCCACCCTGTAAGGGAGAGGAGAAGGGCCCCTGAGCGCTTCCAAGACCGGTGATCCCTGCAGGGGCATCGCTCTCCTGCGAGCAGGGGGGGTTGAACCGGCCACCTTTCCCTTGGCAGCGGGCATCGGTGTGTCCTCGCGGGCCCAGCGGGCACGGAGACTCGCCCCGGTCCACGCTGGCCCTCCCCTGCTCAGGGCCCTAAGCCGGCCGCGGCCCAGGTCCGGTGGGCGGGGAGAGAAGTGTCACCCGTCCACCCCCGGCGGCCGGCCTCTGTGCGCTCACGCCGCCCCGGCCCCATTGTGACCCGCTGGGCCACGGGGCTCAGAGAGGCCGAGCGCGCCGCCCAAGGTCACACAGCAGGCAGCCGCCCGCGAGCCCCGCCGCGGCCGTTACGAAGCCGCAGCGCCCCAACCGCGACGCCGCGCCCGCCCACGGCCACGCTCCACGCTCCACGCAGCCGCGGGAACAAAAGCCGCCGCGCGCCACGCCGGGTTTTGCGCCTCGCC